CTTATGTTCTGTGGTTTTAAGACATAAGATAAACATTTGCTTTACCCAAAGATATTGTATAAAAAACAGACTTGGTGTCGCTGACAAGGTCGTTTGAGGTCATGGCCTCAAACTAAATACCTCAAACCTCATACATAAACAGTGAACGCGGGCTCAAATCCAGAGCCGAGAATCTGATCAAACTTTATGTGATCAGCGACGCTGTTTGAATGCCAATCGTGTCAGCCACCACACGCTTGTGTTGGCAACATCTTCCACGTAGCCAAAGAGCGGCGAACAGATGCCACAAATCTGAGACAACTTTCAACACTATCTAAGTCAACTGTCGCAACCACGATATATTCCTGTTTCCATTGCAGTCACTGTATTCACATGGAAAAAAACAAAAAGGGGTGTAATCGCCCTGAGAAACAAGGTCGCTGAATGTAGATTAGAACTAAATGTGGTGTGCATGATCACCATCTGTGCTAATGAGCATGACAACTGCCAGCAGAGCATGGTTGCTGTGTGGCAAAGTTAAAATGTCTTCATTCATCCATGTTAACATGTGCACTGGGACATTGACTCGGACACAAAGCATCACTGTCCTTCCTGGGAGAGAATAATCATCATTGATTCCTGTGTTTGCTTATGCACTACTTCATTCGGAATCTCGCCTGAAGCATAAATCAAAAGAGGATGTGTTATCAATGTGCTGACTGTTGTTTTTGTGGTGTGCAGCTTCAGCTATGTTTGGTTGAGGATAATAAAAAAAAGGCTTTGTTGAGAATTGTGGCAACACTCCACACTCTGATAGCCTCCAGTGATAGACCAAACCAGCAGAAGTCCTGCCCCTTTCATGTGATTGGCCAATGCAACAGTTTGCATCCCACTGTGTGTAGATGGGATAGGTACAGAACTGAGTGAGAGGAGAGAAGAGGGTGGAAAGTTTCGATCCTCCAGCTGGTTTACTGTGAGCTTAGAGAAAAGGGTTGGAGGGTCAGAAACTCACAGACAATCGGAGATACAAGTCGTACTCAAAGTTCAGACCACTGCACTGGAGCAGCTTTGGCAGAGCCCAATATCAACACAGACTGACTTTAAAGGTGGCTCTTTCCTCTCCTGGATGTAATCATGTGGCGGGTAAGTCAGAGGGTTATTCTCAACTCAGTCTGTATTATATGTTACTGCTCCTCTATGTTTTTGCTACCAAAACATTGAGTCATCATTTGTTTCCAAGCCCCCAAGGCAAAGCTCTGCTGAGGTTGTTTGGCCTTGTTGTGTTCACAGATTCCTTCATATTTTGAACTGTGAATAATACTTGAGGGATAAGATGACTAAGTGAGAAGGCCGAGGGGAATTTTGTGATTAAAAAGCGTCAATGAGAATGGGAGTAGCTGAAGTTGGTTTCCAGCGTCAAAGCTGCTGTTCGAAGCTTTGTAGAATTTCTTAAAATATATGCCTTTGCACAGGCTCTATCTAAAAGGATATAATACAATTTGTAGGAACAATCACTTGGGTGTAGCTGGCAATTGTGTTTCTGGCTTTTCCTTTTCTCAGTCTTCATAAAAGTTTTTTTTATTATTACATTTTACTCAAACAGAGAGATCCTCTGCAGCACCGAGGGAGATAAACCCTGATGTTCATCCATAATCTGGTAGCCTCATCATGACCTACAGAATATACCATTTACCCCACTGATAAGATAAAAGACACTGACTTTTCTCCTCTGCTAGATCCACATATATATACTCTGGCGATACATCCGGATACAGTTTGTGACAGGCCTACATGCATGGGAGTCATTTCACATGAAGCTAATGAGGAGTAAGACTGAGACGCTGCTGTTTCTCTGATTAATTAGTAACTTATCTTGATCCCATGGGGGGGAATGTTAGACATCTTCCCACCAGAGTGGCTGCCTTTGATCGCTAGTGTGACAAATATATATCAAGCTGTCACCATGGAAACACATGCGGTGGTCTTTATTAATAAAAACTACATTAGTTTCAAGTGAAGTGAGATTGAATCTGTGAGGGTGGATCTGTGAATATTAATTGGTATAATTTGTGTTGTTGTTGTTCCAATTAGTTTGCTATAATTGGACTGAACTTGATTCAAATGTTTTCTTTCTTCATTATTCTTGTGAAAAATGTCACTATATAATGTGGGCATGTCTCAAGAAAAGATAGATAAACGTGTTTGCTGTATTATAAAAATCAGCCACATGGTGTCGCTCTTTGAATGTCTTACCCGGCAATAAAACATCAATCTTGTTGTATGCTGTTTACAAATTGCTTATCCACACACCAGGTAACACGGATACTTATGCAAATAACTGATTTGTGCATCTGAATGCTAACTAAATTCTTACTCATGATAGTTTTGGGCCCAGTGACACATTTGTTCTTCACGTACTAATGAGCTGCAGGCTACAGCGGCGTGCTTGTGAAAGCCACATTCTGTGGAGTTCCTGTGGTTGTGGAAAGGATGCGGTGTTTCCCCGCAGATGCCACCTGCCAAGCCGCACAGAGGAAATGAGAGCTTGATGCAGCTCGCGATGCTGACCAGGATGACCTGTTCAGCTCAGAGAGTAGGGGCACAAAGAAAAGAAAGAAAGGGAAAAAATAACTTGTTCAGCCGACCTTTAGACCTCTATTCAACTTCTCTGTCTGTGTGAAACTCATTAGCTACAAACATTATGTGCATTGTAGATTTTTTTTGTGCCATTTCCTCATCTGGAGCTTCATTATAAAACATCCTGTTCACTCATGGAGGAAGTTGGAGCCTCTTAATGGAAAGTTGATTTTACTTTCATCTTTTACCAACAACTTAATGTCTAACATCAGATTGCCAAATGAGTGCACACATGACAGCCACACTTCTCTTCGTAATCCTGTTTTACAGATGAGTTCTAAATGTAGTAGCCTAAATGTTTTCGTAATTAACTTCCCTCCACAGTCCTTTAAATATCAGTAATAAATGGATGTCGGGCAGGGCCAGGCTTCATGCAGCTAATCTTAGTAATGTAGATCAGGTAGATTTGTCAGTCTAATCAGCCGGCTTGTGCTGCCACAGCTGAAAATCACATTAGGCCTGAGTGGGCCGCTGCTGAGCTGGCTGCTTTAGGGAGCAGCAACAGGCCACACATTGGTCACAGCCACGCTGTGAAGACAGGATTACAGATAAATATGTTAGGTGTCTGCCCCAGGAAAGAAGACAAAGAGCAATCGCACTCTCTCAGTAGCTGAGTACATGGTTCAGAGCCATCATTAAAGGTGATAAAAGACCATAGCCAAAAGGATTGAAAGTGCTTGAGCAGGAAATTGTCTTCCTATCTGAGACGATGTAATTGTTTCATCTCTAAATGAGCCATTACTTCCTAATCAAATAAAACTCCAAATGCTAGGTCGGTGCTCAAGTTCATCATTTGACAAAGAGCCACGCAGTTAAGAGCATATGTCTCACACCTGTCATATCTTCAAGTATTGAGCATTTAGCATCTTGAAGCATAATTCTGCTGTGAAAAACATGCTAAACTACCATTAAATGAAAAAGCAATTTGTACTCCAAAAGGAGGACATTAACACAGACTATTCATCTAACTATTTGCCCAAAGCAAACTGTTAAAGTATAGAGATATAATGTTGGTTTAGGTCGGTGATCGTTTTTTTCTATTTATTACAGACTACTCCATACATCATTCTTAGTATTAGACACCATGATATACTGTATCTTTGTGATTCTCGGGCAATGCCTGTCACATTCCCATGTGCATCTCCCTAGCAATGTAGCACACACCCATCGCTTTGTCTGAACTCAGGGTGTCTTTAGTATTTACAGTGTGTATCTGTCTCTCAGAGAGGATAGCCGTGCAGGGGACTCCTTTTGAATGACAAGAGAATTCGAATGGAGCACAGCGGGGATGTGCCTGGAAATAGAGGCACATGGTAAGCAGATGGTACATCGGTGATTCCCACATGAGGGCCAACTGGGACCGAGTTGTTCGTGGCAGATGATGTTTCATAGTGTTTGTCTTCATTTGTAGCTGTCAGAGAGGAGGCGTAGTGACTTTCAACTGTTGCTGTCAGGAAGTTGAATGGAGGTTTTATAGATTAGACATAGTTTTATATTACAGTCATTTTAATGTCTATTAAGCATTGTGTGTTTTATTTCTAAATTGTGGCACTCATGAGGCGTATTATACACAAGCCTCTGAAAACACAAGACAACCGACTGTGATGTAGTTCCACGTCAACGTGGTGACAGAGTCGCAGACCTCTGTTCCACGTTTACAGATGAGTCTAAGGCTGCCTCCCAGCTGTGTTTGTGTCTTCAGCTTTGCTCTTCGAGTCCCTGGTGACATAGCTAAGAAAACTTGCAATCAACAGCATTGTACTGCTGGAAGGTAGAGGGACGGTCACACATTGAAACCTGAAACTGATCCTGACGCTTTGAATTTCTGGATGGGCAGGGCTGAGAGGACACTAACCTGCCTGTGAGGGCATGGGCTGGGACTCTGCACAACCCTGTGCCTCCGCTTTGCTTATTCTGCCCCCCCCCCTCTCTCTCTCTCTCTCTCGCTCTCTCTCTCTCTCTCTCTCACACACACACTCTCACTGTTGTCTGCTCTCGCTCTCTCTCTCTCTCTCTCTCTCTCTCTCACACACACACTCTCTCACTGTTGTCTGCTCTCGCTCTCTCTTTCTCTCTTCTTCTAGTACTGGCCAGCCCTCCAGCTGTAGGTGGAGCTGGCTTTCCTGGAATTGTCGGGCAACTTTTCCTGTTGTGCTTTCTGCCTCTTGCTCAATCTTTGCTTAATGACAGCTCTGCTGCAGGATTACTGGGGTCGCGAAGACTTCTGTGATCTGGATGCCCATCTCCACAGCATGGGGTTTATGGCTGGTGCACATGTTGTCATAAATTTGTTTTCATGATTTAGGACAGAAGTTTTCCTTCAGCAGAAATGTCTCGGCATTGCAAAGTGGGGCGAAATCCATCGGTGGGTAAAGTAGAATGTGTATGAATGGGAGAGCTTTCAGGAGTGCGTAGTGTACACCGAGCTCCAATGCAGTTTGCAGTGGCTCTTTGCCATAGTATTGTTTTACAAGCTCTTTGTAACTTATGGTATTTCATACCACAGGCGATGACATCAGAGAGTTAGCGTCTTTGCATTGTGTTTGTAATACAAAGCTCTTTATTCATTTAAGGACAGCCTGGTGAAAGTAACAACTAAACCTGTTTGGCGAGTACAGTAACCGCTATGTTGTAGCTGGCCGCGTTGCTAAAAATGATTTAATGTTGTCTTGTGTGTCCAAAGTAAAAACATGTTAAACAAATGGCTCAAAGGTTAGACATGTAGTTTAGTAGTTTCATGTGCCACAGTTTGGGTACTCTGTAGAGGTTTTATAGGCTACTTATAAATATATGCATGTTGAGGATTATTCACTTCAAGCAGTATCTGAAATGTTAAAGAGAATATGTAAATGATTGATAAACTTTTAAACAATACCAGTGCCAAAACGCGTCATATTTAGCATGTTTTGTTAAAGACTGAAGGGTTTGCACAGTGAAGAGGTCGTGTTTGATCCTCTGTGATAACTTCTAGATACCTATACGTTCGCCGCTTTGTCTTTAAAGAACAAAAAGGCAAAGAAACAAAAGCCCCACAGATGCATCACAGTCACTAGAGACGAGTGCAACAATCGCCTCTTGTCTTGTACAGTGCAGTGGGATAGCTGCATGTCTGTGAAGATTTGAATAGAACGGAAAGAACAAACCCAGGTCTGTAGCTTGCAGTATCCTCACAACTTCAAAAGGCTACTTGTGCCCGGCTGTTCTGATAATGAGCTTTTGCCTTCTTCACACATAATGAGTGGAGGTAGATAGACGCTGTGAGCACAGTGTGTCCACTCGCAGCTGGGGTGTCTGACTGGCCGGGAACAAAGGCTTAGTGTCTGCGATAGTGTGGAGCCCCAGCCATCAGCAAGCAGGCCAATACACTTCTGCTTGGCTGAGCTGTCAGTCCTCACTGGCCTGCTGGCCTACACACTACAGTATAGAGAGGAACACATGGGGATCGGCTAAACTATGCCTGTGCCAAATTGAAATGAGCCACTGCTACATTCTCAAAGTTGTAAGTTCAGCCAGATAGACATTGCAGAAGTTTGATATGTGTATAAAATGCAGGCAAATGTTTTTTGTCTGAGATTTCTCCTATTTGCTTGTCAGATATCTCTTACAAATATTTACATAGAGTAATATTTATATTCATGTTTTCGTATTCAATGTGCAATGGAAATCAAATTAAACTCAAGCTAGGGATGAATAATTTTGATTCTATTATCATAAGTACTTATGACAATAAATAGCGACAGAATATGCATAGTCTATTTTTATTCTTCAAGTAAACCGCCTGTCTCAACCTAGGCAAGGATTATTTTCCTGATTAATCGGTGTATAGAATCTCAGAAAATAGCAAAAAATGCTGGTTACAATTTCCTAAAGCCAAATGTGATGTCTTAAGATGCCTTGTTGTGTCTGACCAGCAGTCTAAAATCCAAAGATATTCAATTTACTATCACGTAAGATAAACTAAAGCTAAAAATCAGCACAATTGACAAACATAGAACAAAGGAATGTTTAGTATTTTTGCCTTAAAAAAAGCTGTGATGATTTTCTCCTATTCAAGGAGGGTTTACAACTTCCCACAGATTATCTCTTTTCACAGCTATCACCATTTTCTAATCAACTTCTGCGTCATCTTTACAGATAGCTGATCAGCTTCCCTGGACTTTGCTGACGACCTCCCTTTGTTTTGCCTGAAGATGGAAACGCTGGAGTCGGAACTGACCTGCCCAATCTGTCTGGAGCTCTTCGAGGACCCGCTGCTCTTGCCCTGTGCTCACAGCCTTTGTTTCAACTGTGCCCATCGTATTCTGGTCTCACACTGCACGCCCAGCGAACCAATACAATCCATCAGCGCCTTTCAGTGCCCAACCTGTCGCTATGTCATCACCCTCAACCAGAGGGGCCTAGAGGGACTCAAACGCAACGTGACATTGCAGAACATCATTGACCGCTACCAGAAAGCTTCTCTAAGCGGACCTAATTCTCCTAACGAGACTCGGCGCGAGCGAGCCGCCCCCGACAGCAAAGCCATGACTTGTCCCAGTGACCGGGTGCAGTGTCAGTTCTGTGAGCAGGATCCTCCTCAGGACGCTGTGAAGACCTGCGTCACCTGTGAGGTGTCTTACTGTGACGAGTGTCTCAAGGCCACCCACCCCAACAAGAAGCCTTTCACGGGCCACCGTCTAATCGAGCCCTTGCTCGATTCCCATCTGCGAGGGCTCATGTGCCTCGAGCACGAGGATGAGAAGGTCAACATGTACTGCGTGACAGATGAACAGTTGATCTGTGCATTGTGTAAGCTGGTTGGCCGACACCGGGACCACCACGTTGCGGCCCTCGGTGACCGATTTGACAAACTCAAGGTAAGAAATGATCTGTAGTTGGAGGAATGCTTGTAGAATAATGATGCACTGACGAAAACTTATTTACTACTTATTGCATTCCCACAGAATTCAAAGCTGATTTAGATATTTGTTCAAAATCTTGTTTCATCTCATCCAGTAAGTGAAGTAAAGTATGACATTGTAACATTGGTCATTAGTTGTTTGCACTGCAAACTTAGCTTTTTAAGGGTACAGTTTCAACTGCTCATTCCATTTTGGATCCGCACCCCATTCAGAGGGAATGTGATCCTGGATTTGGACTCAATTATTTTGTTAAAATAACCCCTAAAATACAATGCGATATTCCTTGCAAGTACAAACTAGTTAATACTGCTTAATGTTATGGCAAGTAGCATTTGTGTTTATTATTGTAATTCAAATGTGAAGCATGCATTATCTTTTAGCAAATCTGAGCTTCATATACTGTTAATTTCATATGATAAACTATACGAAATAACTAATGTTACAAAATGACGTCACTCAATTAGATATTACAATAATGTGTGCGTCTGGTGATATTCTATATTTTTCCGATTGTCAACAACATATTGGGGAATTCATTAGTTCTTCTGTACCTGATATAGCGTATTCGTCTGTGCCTTAGACCTCCATTGTAGTCCAAAAACACATCAATGAGCCACTCAAGTGCACCATGTTCCCTCATAACGATGAACATGGGCCCTGAGCTTGTTTTGAATCAATCCCACACAAATCGTCCTTCTGCTGTGAATATTCGCTAGCGTAATGAAAATAGTTACCGACAAAGACATTATGTCATCTGTTTGAGAAACCTTTTTTTAAACACCTACGGTTGTTTAAGGAAAGTATCTTGTTTTTAAAGATTTACATATTTAATATGGGCTTGGGGCTTTATTTTGGTCTTTTCACAGGATTTTTTTTTGGTACAAAAATATAGAATATTGCCAGCCTTATCCTTGAAGACCAAATGTGTCATAAGCCCTAAAAAATTATATAAATGAAGTGAGTTCGAGGTGGTCTCTCTCTCGACTAGTCTTAAATATGACACCCAATGCAAGAGAATGCTTTCACAGTTTTTAGGTTAAGTGAAAGTGCTCACTTTCAGCAGATGGGCCGATATCAATAAGGCATGAGAAGATGCTGTTAGCTGGAGCATATACAAATGTGGCTCCACATTCCTTCCATTATACGTGGATCAGCTTTTATCATAAAACTCAGAATTCGGCTTCGCGGGTCAGTGCTTTGTCTACACAATGTTGGTCTCTATCATCTCTCCAGTAACCTCAGGGAATCATTTTATAGTCCAATCATGCAGCAGAGCTCTATTGTGAAGCCTTTGACTTGGCAATAACAACTCTGACCTACTGTATGTAACTTAATTCAAGCAAGGTAAATTCTCGGATCATGAAAATATTTATCATCAAAAATGTCTTTAGCTTAATAATGGTTTTGAGCTTTCTAGTTTTGTCAAAGTTCACCCTTAAGTGTATCCTGAACATTGCATGGCATCCACAGCATGAAATAAAAATGAGGTTCTGCTTTGTTTTCACAAACACTCAGTGTCCATGCATGCCACAAAAGAAAGGGGAGGGGGGGGTAGTGTCTCACAGGTAACACTCGAAACCCTTTTGTGTGCCTGTTCCTCTCTTTCACAATGCTTGGTCACAGCGTAACTGTGGTGCAAGCAATCTTTTGCAACAGTTTTGGAAAGATAGGTCAGAGGACCCGTCTTAACCTGTCTCCTCTGTTTTGATCATGCTGTCGTTGTGCAGAAATCGCCTGGCCGCGTTCTCTGTGTGGTGGGGCGTGGTCATTCACACCAGGAGGCAGACCAGGTGATCAGCATCATTTCTTTAATTCCACATTCAGGGACAGTATGTTTTCATGGAGAAAAATACAAACAAAACAATGTTGCTTTTCGAGGGCTTAATCCTTTGGAAAATCAACAAAATTGCAACTGGTCAGCCACAGAGTAATGTAGCCTTGGAGGTTATTAATGTGAAAATGTTAGTATACTGCTTTGTGTTTTTATTATTCGATGTTGAAGAGCAGAATCCTTTATCCTTTATCGTCTTAAAGACTTACTATGTTCTGTTTCTTTCTCTTCTATAACATCCTCAGTTGCTTGATGTTATTTTAGCAATGGGACATATTATACCAATTAGTTTTTTTCGAAATTATAATTCTTGCTTGTCTTTTCATCCTGTTGACCTTGCATTACGTGCACTTAGCTGCATTGTTAGAAGCCTCGAGTGACAGAAGAGGAAATAGCAATTCCCATCATAGAGAGAAATTGTTTTTTTCTCGTGGCACGCAGGACAGGACCCAGGTGGAGCGCAGCTGAGCTTGTTTATAGTTGCTTTTTTTCTAAACACATGGTTACAGCCACAGTGCCTCAGATTTCCCAGAGATTCCCACACAATAGGATGTTGTGACATTGGCGAGTGTGTTTGTGTGTGCAAGCATGCACAATGCAGTAATTCCTTCAGTCTGCTTTTGGCACTATGTGACATGATCCAAGTCTGACATTATATTATCCATCCATCATACATTGTCAATGTTCAATGTATATATTCGTATATTGGGTCAGATGAGTGGCTCGGGTATATCCCAGCATGCAATGGGGGAAATGGGGAGGAACTTTTTTTCCGTTCAGTTTTTTTCTGTTAAAAATAAATAAAAATAATATATAAATGTCATAGCGTAATGCTTATTCCACTTCATAAAGTGGAATTGAAAAACAAAGAGGATGAAACACACACGCTCAACTTTTCAAAAGGTGGGGAACCACCACCTAAACAGGTTTGGAACCCACTTTCATCCACACCTTAACTGACGGGTTCTTTAACAATAGGCCTTTTCACAGCAGACTTTTTTGTCATAGTAGATAAAGCACAGGTGTTACTAATAATATTCACGATGGCTCCTTTCTATGTACTTATCCAAGTAAGGCATGACATTTGACACAATAGGAGCCTGAAACCGAAGCAGCTACATGGAAATCAGCCGTGGTTCATTTGATTATTTACAAGAGTGATTTTTCTTCCTGTGACAGTTTCAGAATGTGCTACACTAGAGAATATAAACCAATATACTGAGGTTTGTTTGCATTGGTAATGTTTGTAAAACAGAACCGTATTTAAAATTTTATCAGATGAGAATATGCAGCAAACTATTCAATTATAAATGTGAATATACCTATAATACAACGTACATATAAAATACTAACTGGGCCTTTAATGAAGCACATTTGGTGTTTCGTTAACGGATACTTGATAATAGTGTGTATTTACACTCTATCATATGCGTTTCTGATTGAATGAAAGCCTAAAAAGCCCTCCAACAAAGTAAAAACCACGGACGTGTAACGGGGCCTGCGGTGTTCACAGGATGAAGTGACAAACTCTGACAATGGATAGAGTTTCTAATGTTGACACAGGATAAAACTCAAAGTCCTGTCAGTGACCTGACAGGACTTTGAGAGGAAGGAAGAGAGACTGGCCAAAGCAAAGGTGTGGGACCAGAAGCGTGCACACATAAAAGGAAGCTGCTATTCTTTCCTATCATCAGCTTTAAACCACTCTAGGAGAGAGACCTCCATTAGAGAGAGTGGTCCAAACACACGAATAAGAGTATTAATGTTGCAATAGAAGCCGTATTTTAGGCACAGTGAGAAACACACCAAAATGTCTCTCGCGCTTTCTGCCTTTTTCCATTTGCTCTGCCTCTCTTTGGCTTCATGTGATACTTGTCATATTCAAACAACACCATTGTTGGGGGAGAATTTTAACTGTGTACATCTGGCTATATTCAACATCAGTTTGATTAATATGTTATGTTTCATGCGTCCATTTTAAAACTCCTCACCAGTACCTTCAACTCAGCATCTGTAAAGGCTTTCATCACCTTCTCTTCATATAAATAAATCATATTTGTGAGAGTGGTAAAATAAAGCTATTTTAGTAGACAGTGACGCACCCACCTTATAAAATCACAATGTGAGACGTCCAAGCTGAAAGAGGTCTACCCACTATGTGCCACAAACTTTGGATCTTTAAATGCCTCTCTTAACCGTTTCTTCTCTTCTTTTGACTATTTTCCATATTTTGTTTTTGATCAAGGGAGATCAGGCACAACGCTCACAATTATATTTTAGTAATCTGTGAAACGTTTTGGGAAGCTCACTACTATGTGCAAAGCTAGCAACACTGGGCTGGGTTTTTCGGTTCGATATCTTTTAAAATCAAACTTACTTTTGCTTGTTTCTCAAGATTACCAGCTCGAGCAATAAATGAAGACAAGCATTTGCTGCTTTTAACTTTATCATTCAAAAATGTGGGCTTCTTACTGTGCCACACATGAATAATAATTTAGATTCTGTTGCTAGGTGTTAGTGTGTGTATTAAAACAGCAATTTCCACACCTCAGCTTTTGGTGGGACTACACTTTTGTTTTAATTGTATTCATTGACAGCACAATGCAATGACACATTAATCTTCCATTTTAAAAGAATAATTTGTCACATCAGAAGATGTTTTGTACTACCACAGTACACAGTCATCATGCTACCCAATTACAGTAAGAGATTAAGTGTGAAACATAAGCCTTTGATCTGAGTCAGTGATTAACACAGCCGGGGTTTAGTTGTCCAAATCACTGGCAGATGCTCTGCTAAGCTCCGTGGCCTCAGCAGACAGTACGATGGGATCTCTGGCACACAGGGAGGACTGGGGCCTCTACACGATCGCAGCCCGAATGTGGCCAGTCATATCCAGCGGTAGCCTTGTGTGTCCACTCCCATGCCCATTACACTCCAGCCCGGATACGCTCCTTGTGTTCCTATTCACCTAACTCTCCTCCAAGTTGTATTCAGCTATTTACAGTTTGATGAGGGGGGCAGTGCGTAATGAAAACCTCATTTTCATTTTTGTTTAACAGCATGCTTTGGATTCCAACCTCAGCAGTCTAATCAAGAGGACCAGTGAGTTGGAAAGTCTTATGGGGAAACTCATCCAAACCTGTCAACATGTGGAGGTGAGGCTTGTTTATCTGTCCGCCTTCAGGTGCGGCCTCCTTGCTTCTGTGGCACTACATGGGCAACAGTTCATTCAATTATTAACACAGTGAAGAATTACTCTCAGTGTATAGTACTGAGAGTGGCTTTTCGTCCTGTCAACAAGATGAAGTGCTCTTTAGTCTATATATCAATCATTTCTTCAACATGCATACAATTTGCTGCAAATTGAGTATTTTCAGAACGTGAACTTGGAAATAAAGATATAAAGTAGTTATTATGTGAATCCTCAAAAAGCATATTGTGTACATGTTCATTGCAATGGCTGTGATTGGGATACAAATACAAACTGTGGACAAGGTGGACTGCTGCTCTGCTTGCCCAACAATAAAAGCCATAATTATCCTCTGGAGTGGTTTTCCTATCATTGTCCTATATAATGTATTTAAAAATGATTTAATCAAATGGACCTGCAGTAGTGCAGCAAAACATATTGTCAAAGCAAATGAATTACCAAAACGCTTCCACAATTGACACTGTCTCTTATCTCTGCTTCTGTGCTGTCCAGGTAAATGCCTCGCGACAGGAAAACAAGCTGCTGGAGGAGTGTGACCTGCTGATTACTATCATACAGCAACGAAGACAAATCATAGGAACCAAGATAAAGGAGGGAAAGGTACATCTTTATAACCTTTTGTGTCTCGATAAACTTTTTTTTTTGTTCATCACCTCGTGCGTGTTGATAACCTTGCCTGCCCACATTATAACCTAGCATACAACCAGAGACAGTACAGAAAGGAGAGCGAGTCTGATTCCTGTTTGTGTGTCACGTTGGTTTCACCTCTATTAACACCAATGGAAGAAGTGAACGTGAACACAGATTATGACAGTACATATTGGACCCATTTTCACAAGCCACAAATATTCTGATCATTTGGACACTGAAATAGCATTTTTCAGAAAATGTTTGTTCGAGAAATTTCCTTGTCTCAGCAGACTCTCGCGAGATCTGGATACGAACGTTAACGAATGCCCTAACTTATTTTTGTAATGCTAAAATGGCTGTAGCTGTGTAAATAAACAGATTATCCAAATATTACCCAATCTGCTTTCATCCAACCACACAATCATTTCCAAACGAGGCGGAGGGATGAGGGAAAGGCAAACATGCAATGACCACGCCCACTTAGGAGACAGGAAGTGTATACCATTTGAAATCATTGGAGGAGCTTGTAATGTGTTAAAAATCACTGTTGTTGGGTAAAAAACTCATCAAAATGTTACTTTTTAAGGTGAGACTCACTTTTGAAAGAATCAATAACACATTTGTTTCTTACAAATAACATGTTAATTCCATAAATAATAAAATGCTTTTAATCAAATTCAGTATGTTAAAGGTTTTGCCGCTATGCCTCATTTGGTCTCATAGGAACAGAAGCTTATGGCACCTTTGTGTGGACTTTCTGTGTACTGAAGTCATTCTGCTAACTTTATATCTTTTCTGGACTTGTGCTACATTATGTCACAGATTAGCTCCAGTTTACATTTGCGTCACAGAGCTAAACATCCGATTGTCCTTAAAAATAAATACCTGGTGAACTTTGACAAAACACAGTTCAAGTCATTTACTGCTGTTCTGCAGGTATTTCTGCTTTTTGGTTATTTTTTCTACCTTTGTTGCCCTTGGTAACCTACCGTAGATGGTAAAAACATACAATGCAAAAATGGTTCAGAGCTTTGTGACATCTCAGCTAATTTAACCCGCTCATCCTCTTTTTCTGACCTTATAGCTCAGACAGGGGGCTGGTGGCAACATGTCCCCAGATCTGTTTGTGGTTTTGTACACTTGTCACAAGCTCCGTACACTGAAATATCCACCAGACTGCAGAGTTTATTGCTCTATTTTGTCTTCGGTATCAGCCTTGAGCGCCGGAGTTCTTCTGGCACAGTGTCCATATATTTAATGAGCTCATTCTGTGCCTCTTGAATCATTCCCCTTCCTGTTCCCATGTGAGATGCCATTAGAGAGGCAGTGGCATGCTGTGCCATGCTCAGTGTAAGATCAGCCCTGCTTCCTGTGATGGCCCTCTGAGGAGGAGGACTCTTTCCTTCCTCACCCCGTGCCTCGTGTCAGCTTCTGCTTCTGCTTTCAACCACTAAGCCAATATGGCACAGATGCGGGATAGGAGGGTCCGGTTACTATGGCAGTGTCATAAATACACCTCTCATGCCAGTGCAGCTTGTATAACAGGTTGAAGCTCACACTCTTGTGGGTATTACACAAATGAAAAATCAAAGGTGTAAATCAGATTTTCCCCAGTAGGATGTTCTAATTGGTGAAGTAAAATCCAATCTAGCATCTGGCAGGCTGGTGCCTCATACAGTAAATAGGACATTTGCTGGTTATTTACCAAGCTTTTCATCATCATCAACATTTCCTTATTTGTTTTCTGTCTAGTCTATACGTCTGAGGAAACTAGCCCAGCAGATAGCCAGCTGCAAGCAGTGCATCGAGAGGTCCTCCTCCCTCATCACTCAGGCCGACCAAACTCTCAAGGAGACGGACCAAGCTCGCTTCCTCCAAACGGCTAAAAGCACCTGTGAGAGGTGAGGAAGCAAAGATAGCCAACGTTGTCATCTGACAATAGCTATGGTGTATAAAACCGTCACCATCTATTAATATACTTCTTTAATTACAGAGTTTCAATGGCAACGGCCTCCTCTCAAATCCTGTTACCAGATATTAACCTGAATGACAGCTTTGATACTTTTGCTTTGGACTTCACAAGGGAGAAAAAAATGCTAGAAAGCTTGGATTACCTCACAGGTGAGTGTGGTCTTATACTGCCAGTCATATTTATTATTATTTTGGGTAGTTTTACACTTTGTAATTCTTGAAACTAGATGATTTGTTGGGTACGTTTTATCTGAATAATGCATTTAAAAACATCTTCATTTTAGGGATGCACCGATCCGACTTTTTCAGTCCCAATACAAATACCTGGGCTTTGGGGATTGGCTGATACCGAGTACTGATCCCACACCAGTGTTTGATTAATAAGATGTATGCCTCACTGTGTGGAAGGACTGAGATCTGTCTTTCATTTGTGAGGCATCAATCAGGCTTGACTCAAATATTGCTTTCTTATCTACATGGATATAAATCTATTAGAATAATAGTATCCAGCTATTTGAGTCAGTATCGGACAGATATCCGATATCAGTATGGGTATTTTTGCATCTCTGCCTTCAATTATATAGATTTATACAATTAAAAGCCTTCGGCAGGGATATTAAGCAGGAACTTTACAATACAACTATGTGCCTCTTAGCAACAGAAAACCAACAAAACTCACAAATGTAAGGCTACAATTCTCTGCTGAATGAAATGGGTTTGATTGTTTGTGCTCAGCGCCCGCTATGCAGCATGGCTTTACCTCTGCATGGAGGCTGTTAGCTGTAATAGCTGGGAGAACTATAACCTAGCTTAATTACACTTGTCAGTATTAATCGACACAAATGGATAGTGCTATCATATTGTGAGATTTTTTTTATGTTGTCGTGTGCAGAATAGAATCCACTCAGCTTTCATTCCTGTCTCAGAAAAAAGCATGTGTCTGTTGTTTTCTGATTGCAGCACCAAATCCGGCAATAATCCGTGGGGAATTATGTACAGCTTCATACGACACAATCACAGTTCACTGGACATCAGATGATGAATTCGCTGTTGTATCATATGAACTTCAGTACGCCATCTTCACCAGCCAATCCAATGTTGTCAGTAAGTCTATGTGCAGCTCTCAGTGTAATGTTCGTGGTGGGAAACAATGATGGAGGGATTTGAAAGGGATTTCACTCAAGGACCTTAAATTGATTGGGGGGCTATGTTACGATATGCAAACATAATATTGTACTGTAGCAGCAGGAGAGGAGAGCTCTGTCCTGGCTCTCATGGTCATGAGATGTTACCAAAATACACTGTAATTTTTGCAGTGTCTAGAAAAGGATACAGGGGAAAATAACAGCTCAGTCAGACTGGCTTTACATCAGGATGCCCATAAGCTCAATATTATCTCGGGGGTTGAAATGAGTAGCCGACTGTTTGAATTGATTGCTCTAACAAGGTCACGAATGCTCGATCTATTCTCAACTGCCTCAGTGCTCAAGCACACTTGGATGAGTTGTATTGCGACTATATTTGATGAGTCAAAAACAGCAGCTATAGATTGCAAGACTGCATACATTTACACTGTGTTGTCCCATTGAATGAGGCTCTAACTCAACAGTTAGGGGGATTTTCAAATTGGTTTGTCAGTGACTGTCTTTCTGTCTGGGCTGCAGGTTTGTGTAACTCTGCTGACAGCTGGATGATTGTACCAAACATCAAGCAAAATCACTACACTGTCCACGGGCTCCAGTGTGGCACCAAGTACATTTTCATAGTGAAGGCCATAAACCAGGCTGGAAGCCGCAGCAGTGAACCAGGGAAACTCAAGACCAACAGTATGTCAAGAGTGTATTCCATGATTCATTTCCCATGAGAATTGTAATGGATAGAAACTAAAATGTTTCCTCCTTTCTTCAAGGTCAACCATTCAAGTTAGACCCAAAGTCAGCTCACCGGAAGCTGAGGGTGTCCCATGACAACCTGACGGTGGAGAGGGACGAGACGTCATCCAAGAAGGGCCACAGTCAGGACCGCTTCTCAAGTCACAGCAGCTACGGTGTCACAGGAAATGTCTACATCGACAGCGGCCGCCATTACTGGGAGGCTCTGATTGGAGGAAGCTCATGGTAAAATCATTTACCCGTTTACAGCCATTCTGCTCCGACATTCATGGTCCTTAGAAGATAAATCCTCTGACTTTGGTAATCCTCTGACTTTTGCTCTTGCGCAAACACGTTTGTGGTTTTGAGTGAAATGTCACGACGACTATCTAACATACTTCCATCGAACTTGGTTCGTAAATTCCGGTTCCCTGCAGAATTAATTGTAATACCGTAGGTCATACCTTAACTTCAGGTCAAAATCTGACATCTGTCCAATGTTTTAGTTTTATGGCCAAATACCCACAAAAATAATGACATTCTCATCAGTGTCAGCTTTTCCTTGTGTTTATTGCTAATTAGCAAATGTTACCATGCTAACACGCTAAACTAAGATGATGAACATGGTAAGCATTATACATATTATACCTGCTACATAGCAGTATGCTAACATTGCTATTGTCAGCCTGTTTTAACATGCATTTAGCGCAAAACACTGCTGTGCATAAGTACAGCCTCACAGAGCCCCAAGCATGATAATGGGGTGGGTTTTAAAATGCTAGCAATGTACAGGTAATTTATGACTGTTTTTCTTCTATTGGGCATGCAGGTTTGCAGTGGGCATTGCATACAAGTCAGCACCAAAACATGAGTGGGTCGGCAAAAACTCTGCCTCCTGGGTACTGTCTCGCTGCAACAACTCGTGGGTGGTGCGTCACAACAGTAAGGAGATGCCCATCGAGCCCTCACCCCACCTGCGTCGTCTCGGAGTGCTGTTGGACTATGACGCTGGATCGCTGTCTTTCCATGACGCTGTCGGCGCTCAGCACTTGCATGCATTCGACATCGCCTTCGCTCAGCCAGTCTGCCCTGTGTTCAACGTGTGGAACAGGTGTTTAACAGTCCTCACCGGACTGCCCATCCCAGATCACTTAGAGGGGACAGACTACAACAACTGACAAAACCGGTCCCGCTAGATTTTCTTTGTGTACCCAAAAATAAACCAGACTGCCTGCGCCTCATTGACTGTGATGCCCACTTACATGTTGACAAACTGAACGAGATGCCATTCATAGCCCAGGTGTACATTCCTAATCAAGCCTATGTTGAAATTAATAGGAATTATTTGAGAAATGATCGACAAGCATCTGTAGATGTATTTCTTTGCTTTGCACATGTATGTACATTACACTGCCGGATGGCTTTAAGGATTTCCTTACAGTTTGAAATTAATTTTCAAATAGGCTCCAGATTATTTTTATTTCTTAAGTTCATTATATGCCGTTCCATTCATGTTTGATTATAAACCTTTAGGTGCAAGTCACAAACGGACTCTGGCGTTATTGTTTCTGCAGGATTTGTATTATTGGCTATTTTAAATGTTACGCTTTTGAAAGATTTTTTAAATCATAGCACTTTGAGAAGTTGTCACTATAGAATTGATTTCTAAGCCACTTGTACCGTAATGCAAATGTTTCCTTGTCATTGACTTGTAAGGAAAAAGCACTAAATAGATCAGATAACAAAGATAAAAAAATTGAAATTAAGACTAATGTGAAATCAGTCATTTAAGTCATTCAAATATTTATTACCTGTAAATTTGTGCAGTTCAGCATTATGAGATCATTCATTACAATTTTCACGTTTAAGTTTCTCTCTGACAAGCTGTAATAAAAGTGACTTCATTTGATTAGCTGTGTAATTTGTCCTGGTTTTAAGACGTACTGCATGCTAAACGTGTCTCAGTAAAATGATCATTTAATATGCTGTACACTTGTTGTTTACACTTATTTATACTTGATCTATCATTTAAGGTTGAACAGGCTCTCACAATACCACAGTGAAGAGAAAACAACATCACCACCATAGAGAAAAGTGTCAGTGTTGCTTTGCAGGACTCACTCTGACCCACACTGAGCTAAAATATAAATTTTGACAAGATTTGCTCTGACATCTCTTTTTGTTCTGGAGTAACATGGCTTGAATTCTGCAGCATCCCCTTTCAACTAAAGTAGACAGGAGGAAAAAAGAAAAATTCTGAACTCTGTTTGACCTCCTTATGAGACACCCTGCAGATGAAGCTTTAATACGTGAACACTACCTCCTCCACGACATGCCACCAGGATTTTGAGATGTATACACTTTTCTTTGTGAATAAATACTGAAAGTTGTTTGTGTAATCACAATAGATCACTACATGGGTCTGGTTTTGACTACAATTTTAGCTCTAAGTTAAGCTTTAGGTGGATTTTTTTATATTCATTATTATTTAAACAACAAACTTACAATGTGACAGTGACATAAAGAAAAGATTTTGTAAAAAAGATTCAAACAAAAACATTTTATCATAATCAAGTAATAACATGTCGGTGTGCATAAGTTGATATTTAATCTTGTTGATTAAAAAGTAATATGATAACAGGATCACTGTAAAAAACGAAATCACATTTTTGTTTTGTATCATTTTATTATATACCGAGCATATTATAAGTTAAATCTAAAACAAATTCTCAAGACAATGGACCGTTGATTGAGGGGTGTTTGCAATGATTTTTATCACTGACAGTATTTTAAAACAAATAAAATACAAAATAAATGTACTGTTAACATATTTGTCCATTGTCTGCTTTACATTATGAAATAAAAAAGACCTAGAACACATCTAAACAAAAAACACAATTTTTGTTCTAAACAAAGGCATTGTAGAGTTGAGGCTAAGTTACGGCTCTGTATTTTTTGGATGATAACACAACTTGTCTTTGTGTGACTACAACACTTACAATAGGCAAAGCGTCATTAAGGGCTTTACTCTGAATGTGCATTCAGGGAAAAGAAAGCAGTTTGCAGACATGATGAACAAGAATTGGAAATCTAATTTTGAAATACAAAAAGTGTGCCGTGGGGCTCCACCTGCAGGATTTGTATTTTCTGTGACAGATGATTGTGCTGCTAGATGCCATATCTGTCACACCCAGAAATGACATCTACCATGTTGGTCAATTTTTCTTGTGATGTTAGCTTTGTAATAACAATATACTGGGCCTCATATAAAATAAGATAAGATAGGATAGGATAAGATAAGATAAGATAAGCGAGAACAGAGACTGTATTGTCATCCATCCGTGCAGCACATAGAGGAACATGATTGTGTTTTCCTGGTCCTTGGTGCAAAAAAAAAGAAAGAAGGAATGATGCAACATTCAGTCTCATCCAGGTGAGAGCTGGAAATAAATAAATAACTAAACTATAAATAGCATGAATACCAAGCATGTTATACATCAAATTGAAGATGGACACAACATAATTATAATAAACACTTAACACACACACATGTAGTTTATGTTGTTAGCAAAGATCACTATAAAAAGTATTCAAATCAAATACACACTTTAGTAGATTGAACTATTTTTGAACTTCACTAACTGCATCAGACAGCCACTCCCCCAAGCACCGCCCACAATCCCGGAACAGGAAGTACCTGCGCGTTTTTGCTGCTGACGTTGGAGCTGTACAAAGTGACGATGGCGTCCACGGATCAGTCCCTCCTGGACCTAACAGATAAAGAAACCCGGGAGAAACTGTCGTTTTGGGATCGCCGCACCGATGCCATGGCTCCCCTCACGGAGAAACAAATGGACGCTGTCCTGGAGATCCGAGCCGCAGCTGAGACGCTCTCTGTCCCGTCAGAGGTGAGTTGTGACTCCCGGGAGCCAGCTAGCATGCTAACAGGGTTGCTAACTTACTTTCCTAACGTCAGCGATACTAGCTAACCTAAACGTGCCTCTGTGTGAACTCAATTAAACCGAATATTGACGTTTACATGTCACGGAATGTTAGCTTGTAGGCTAACTAGCAAGCTTGCGCTTGTTCTTCGCGACGTCAAGCCTCGTCAGAGTTAAAGAGCCCCGCTTTGTTTTGCAGTTGCCCATCGAGGACTTGTGCAGCCTGTCGTCGCGGTCCTTGCAGTCTCCCTTCATAGCGACGGTGCCCGCGTCAACAGAGGACGTCCTACTCAAGGGTTTCCAGATGCTCGATATGGGCAACGAGCGGATAGAAACCGCACAGCAGGTGACTTGTCTTTGCCCACAGTAAACAGTGCTGGAGCCAGTTAGACGTGCTGTATCACAATAAGCTGCATGGTTTTAATACGGTGCCAACTTCTGTTGCAGTTTTTTGCCTGGTTTGCCAAGTTGCAGGCAAACATGGACCAGGATGAGAGCTCAAAATACAGGTGCATACATGTTTAAGTGCTTTACCCCACTGTACGGGATTGTTTTGGCCATATGCTTGTTTAGAGGAGGCTTAGTAAGCTTTTTGAAAGGGTTAATCAGAAACAAACCACTTTGACAAGGTAAAGCAGTGTTATTACAGTTGATATACATATATCATGACAAGTAAACTTAATGTGCTTTACATTAAAGAACTATTTCGTCATCACACACCCCAAACCCATCATAAACTAGCCTGGTTCCAGACCCCTGAATCACTGCCCAAATCTCAGATTCAAATACATTGAATAAGAGGAAATAGCATTTTAGTCTGATTTACCAGGCTAGCTAGTTATTAACCACAGACACAAGCATGCACAGACATACACCAAGTAACTAATCATTGGCAGACGAAGAAGATTCAAGTTGCCATAGTTGTGGCAAATCCTCAGGCTGTGTATTCTACGGAGTATGATTTAAAACTACAAAAAGCAAGGCTGAAATCTGCTGCTATGCTGCTCTATATGGGCTAAACGTTTCTGCTGTACTTCTGGTCACACCCCAATAAGTGGTCAGAAGTACAGCAGGAACAGTCAAGTTGTCTGCTCAGCGTTAAAACATTGTCAAGTTGCTCTGCAAACCTGTAGGTATAGCTTCACTGCATCATCTTCTCTTTAGCACAGGGATGATATTTCTGCTCTCCCTTTAGGAAAACCAGAGATTCTCTAAACTGCTACCAGGAACAATGCGACGCTATCCTGACCGATGTCAGTACCGCTCTGGAGCACCTGGACTCCCTCCAGAAACAGTATCTGTTTGTGTCCAATAAGACCGGCACCTTACACGAGGCCTGCGAACAGCTCTTAAAAGAGCAGGTAAGCTGCACTCTGTTCTATCCATCTGTTAACCCAGGCCACATAAGGATCTGAGGCTGAGACATAATCAATAGAATATGTTTGAATTGTAATGTCACTGAATCTATTTTTCCTATAATCCAGGAAAGGCTTAAGTACTAAATATTGGCAAAAAAGAACCTCACTCCAAAACCCAGGAACTACAGGATTAGCTGTGTAATTGTGTAAAAGTACCTGTGGTAACACCAGAAGGAGACACCAGAGATGACTGTAAACTCCACTATCTAGTTCAGAACAGTGTGACATAAATACAAGCATGTCTGAATTGCTAGCAGGCATTCAGCAGGTTAAAAAGAAATCTGTGCGCTGCTCGTTCCTTCTGTGACATATTTCATATCTTATTGGCACTGTTGTTTCATTATTGTTTCACGCTGAAAGATGCTGCTCATGTTCATAAATAGATTGGACCTTTCCAGGAACTTGAGCTGGATTGAAGGTGAACTGAAATTAAACTGTCATGTTGTGTTATGTCAGCTGTGTTCTCTCTCTCTCTCTCTCTCTCTCTCTCTCTCTCTCTCTCTCTCTC